ATTTGCATAATTAATGAGAAAGTTTTATAATTATGTAATGATAACTGCCTGGAATTTCATACTTGTGGTATTTGAAAGTTTAGTTGAGGTGAACATCATTAAACATAATTTATTCAAATCAGGACCTCATTTGCATAATTTATTAGGAAATGCTAGAATGCATTGTTTGTTAATATAAGACTGTCTTTTGGTTGAGATTATGATAAAATGATATAATTCATGAAAATTAGGTTCCTATTTCTTAAATCAAGGGGGACTAATCTAATCTATAATTTGTCAGTCATAAAGATTAACATCATTTGGCGAAGGTATGAGATCGGGGAACTCTAGTTATACTTGCCTTCACTGTGAAACTCAAAGTTGGATTCACAAGACCCCATCCTTCCAACACAGTAGCTTATGTCAAGCTAATTGTAAAAAGATAAAATGAAATGAAAGGCCCAGGTAGTTTATATACATGTTTAAATTCTATGCATTTTACAGTTTCTTCAATTAGAGAGAACCCCCACCTGAAGTATGGACATAGAGGTGATTGGACGTATCCGCCCGTCGGCACGTGGGGAGGGCCATCACTCTCTCAACATCTCAGGAAACCATCGCATCACCAGTAATGACGGCCAGTCCTTCAGCTTCCAGCCACTCTTCAGACAGGATGCCACAAACTACGATGTCTATGCCAAGGTGTTGGAACCACTGCTGGACCTGTTCTTAGCAGGTGGGTGATTTGACCTATTATAGAAGCATCACAGTGATGGCAATATGGGACAAAAATTGTTTGGCCTATATCCTTCTAAGTTATGATTTTACACTGTCAGAAGTTAAAAAGTAAAAATTAAAAAGTGATCAAGACATATCATTGGTCTTTTAACTTCAGTAACTGACAGATACATCAGGTCAGAGTCACTGTTTACTCAGTGACTTTTCCCTACCGATTTCACAGGTTTCAATGTGTCCTTGTTGCTGTTTGGAGAGACGGAGTCTGGTAAGTCCTACACCATGGCAGGAGACAGCCTGAACAAGGCTGGGATTGTCCCCCTGGCCATCGACGGCTGTTTCAACAGACTGCTGGACCTGCAGGACAAACCCAGGGAGGAGGGAGGGCTGCGTGACGGCCACCGCAGAGGCAAGGACGACGTGGAACTCAAGATGTCCATGTACGAGATCTACAACGAGATTATCAAAGACCTGCTGAACGAGAATCAGCAACGTGGAAGCCTCCCTATAAAGGAAACAGCACAGCTTGGCCCACATCTGCCCGGCTTGAACCAGATCCAGATTTTCAATGCAGCAGAGGCCACCAACTACTTCAGACAGGGCTGGGGGAGGAGGACGGATGTGGTGACCGATTTCGGACCGGCTCTGGGGTACAGTGCAGCTGTGTTCCAGCTGGAGCTGTCCATGGTAACAGGTGGAAGTCCCCTTCCAAATCGCTCCATCTTGCAGGTGGTACGACTTCCGGGAGCGGAGAAACTTGCAGAGGATCCGACCAAGCTGCGCATGAGGGAGGGGCCGAGCCTCAACAAGTCCCTCACAGCCTTCAGTCAGCTAGTTACAGAGCTGGCCAACACCCGGCATGCAGACAGGGTCATCAACTACACCGATTCAAAGCTCACACACCTGATGATGGACGCACTCGGGGCCAATGCGAAGACACGTGTGCTGTGTCATCTGCCTCCACACTGTGACCAGTACCGCCTCTCTGTCATGCTGCGGTCGTGTGCACAACTGTCGCAAGTCAAGAACTTCCCCATCCTGAATGACCACCTTGCGCAGGTACTGAACATTAAGCTGCTTGGTCTCAGATTTAAGCTTGTTACTCTGTGACAAAATTACATGCATAATTTATAGATACACCATACAACGTATTGTAATAGTATTATTCACCTTGACAGCAACAGAGCTTTTGAAGTGGTTATGTGTATTATTAAGTTCTGTCATTAATCTTGTTTTTTCACTTTCTCTATGTGTTTGCTCAAGGGTTAGGATTATTTGATCTAAATTTGGATGTGTAACTAAAGCTCCTTACTACTGAGCTCAGGACTGTAAGGGAAAATGCGTAATATTTTGGAAACGTACGTCCAAGGTACATGTACAAAATGTACATAACAATCTGTTTGACTGACTAAACTGTTGCAGGGGCTGGTGTGTCAGATGCGTGCACGTATCCTGAGCCTACAGGAGCAGCTGGGTTATGAGGAGGGCCACGGGAGGGCGCTACAGCTGCATGAGATGAGGGACGAGCTGAAGAAACTTACCACAGACAACCTGCAGCTGAGAGACAAGAACGAGAGGCTGTACCAGAAGGTTAGTTAGGCCTAGGAAAAAATGTTGTGTTTCCTGTTTCAGTCCTGATAAAAATATGGTTGGTAGGTAGCTATAGGGATTATCTTTTTCTTAGACTTGGCGATCTCAATATAGTGATCCAACTTATACAATACAGTTTCAAATTTACAAAGTGAAACTTGCATGAGGACACTTATAGTTTCAATATCAATGTTGGAAAACCAATGTACAATCACTCAGGTGTCAGATCATGGAGCTAGAAATCAATCAGCTTGAAACATTTATGTCATTTGCAGGGATCCACCCAAAAAAAGGTTAAGGTTGGCATTTTTTTCTAGGGTGGGTCTGGAAACAGGAAACATAACCTTTTTTCCTAGGCCTTAACGTACACGTACGCTGTAGGAATCCAACCTGTCTGTAGTGACCACTCAAGGGACTTGAAACACAACTCATGGTCATGCTCATACTTTGTAACCATGGCTGCATGGTTCAAATGCAAGGAAATGCAATGTGCAGTAGGGATTTTGTTACTGGGCATAGGATTTTGAATCAAAGTAAAGTAAACTGATCTATTTCTATTCATTACCAAGTACTTGCCACTTGTCACAATCCCTTGTATTCCCACAAAGAGAGCAAAATGTACAGTACATACCTGAAGGCTTAAAAAGTATGACTGTTTCCTGAGGGAGTAGCTACAGCAACTGGACTGCATATATACCTGCCAAGGACCTGATAACAATACAGCCCTTAATGAGGTGTGTTACCGGAGAACACACAAGCAAATTACTGTATCGCCAGGTGGTTTTGGAGACACAGTTAGTTTGTTTAGTGGCATGGCAACTCGCTAAACGAGTTGGGAGCCACACACTAACACAGTAGCCATGAGGGGAGGCCTGGAGAGAAAAGACATGGGAGAATATCACAATAAGGTATCACTTGATCCATTCTGAATAATACTGGTTCGTGTGATTGTTTCTGGGGATGAAGTAAGTGTTTCAATAATGGGGTCAAAAATTCTGATGTCCTCTGTGATTACGTGCATGGCTGTTGACATAGCAGGTGGTTATAAATGGTGTCATGGCCATGGGCAACAGGTAGAAATTTCCCATTCAAAAGATGCAAAAGTCTGTGGATTACTGTAGATTTCTGCATGATTTAGATGTGTGCGAGTCTTTATCATCACGTGTAAATAAGGATTTGTGTTGTCTTGCAAGCTGGCTCGCTCTATTGTAAACGGATACAAGGTACTTTGTTGGTCTCATTAGTGGTGGTAAGCACGGGGGGTATTCTGTTTTTAACTCTAATTGTACTGAAAAGCTGAAATGTAATTAGGTTAGTTGTTCAGAATATGGAATGTTGCTGTTAATCCAGCTACGTGTAGGAAGGTTTAATGATAGTAAGGGCAGATTTATGATCAGAATAAATCACTACACTTTGGTTTGCAAATGCATGGATAGATGAATATCTAATTTTGTTTGAATGTTATTGTATGATGTCTAGTTTAAATTAGGGTACTACCGGAAGTTTTGGTTTTATGGAAAATGCACACTTTTTTAGTTTGTGAAACTAAACATTTGTATTGTAATGCCACCATGTGTTGCTAGGTGGAGCAGCTGCAGTCCAAGTTGAATCAGATGGCTGGATCACGTACAGACCTGTCCTCCAAACTCATCTTCAGTGAGGAGGAGAAACTACAAGTAGGTTCTATATTCACTCTATTTAAAGTGTACTAAAATAAGTATGGAAAAGATGTCTATCAATATGTCCTTTTTAAGAGTAGATTAAACTGTTTTCAAGTCATAGTGACATAAGATTTCCTTGTGATTCAAAGTCATTTTACGTCAGAAAGCTCAACTTGAAGCCATCACTTTCAAGTTATCATTATTGTTACATATTAGTTGAAAAGTTCTGTCTCTATTTGTTATGCAATTCTTCAATGGTAGCACAGCATTGCTTTCGATTTCCCAGATTTTTTCATACCCCATTCCTTTTTTTTCATACCCCATTCCTAGAATAACCAGTGTGCTGAATCTGCTGATATACATGTACATGAACTACATATATTAATGGTGAGATTTCTTCATTGCCCAGGTGTCCAAGGCACTGGTTGACCTGCAGATTGAGAATAACCGTATCCAGGAGGACTATGAAGCTGCAAACTTTGAACTAAAGAACAAGGTCCTCACACTGGAGAATGAGCTTATGGAGGTAAAGACAAAAGCTGTTCTAGACTGGCTGTATTTCGTCAGTCTTTTTCTTTAAACTTAAACCATGAAAGTGTCTGCCAAATTTGCATGTGTACAGGAATAATTTATCTTCAAGTTCAAAGCCGTATGAATTTTTTCCCAGGTGACCCTCCAGAAGGACAAGGTGGCGCGTGACCTGAGGAATACTCATGACCGCCTGCGTACATCAGAGAAGGACCATAAGGAGTTGGCTGATGAGTACATCATCCTCAAGACTAACTACTTGGCCTTAACCAAAGTCAGTGACACTTTGACAGTGACACAGTGTTTTCTATTGCATTACGGATTATGAAAACAATGATTTCTCTTTTATTTGTTACATTGGTGATTGAAAATGTCATATATACCCAGTCACTTACATGTATTTCCCTCATACACTGCAAGTATGGATTTGAAGCAAATTTTCAAGTTAATGGGCAATGTATCACTAATAGAGCTAAAAACTCTTGATCCAACAGAAGAGATTTGTAACAATGGTTTAGTCTCTACCAGACTAACTACGCTGGCTATATATAAGAGAATATTTGCCGGGGGAGTTTTGGCTAACTTGGGGTTTGAGGGAACGAAACTACCTCCCCGCAGCCGGACTCCCTAGCTTGGCCAATTTGATTCTCTTTTTTGCCGAATTCTACGATCCGTATTCCCGTAGAAAGGCCTGGTGGAGGCTAACAATGGTTACTCATACTCTTACTAGTAGTTGTTTACTACATGGCGGTTCTGTCCTGAACAGGAACATGACAGGGAGAAGGCGAGGAATGAGGAGTTGGGGATGGAGCTGTTGAACCTGGTGAATGCCACGTCCCACGGCCGGCCTGTACAGGGGGAGCTGACAGCAGAGATAGACAGGCTGCGGCATGTCGTGTCACGGCTGTCCACTCACAAGCCACAAGGTAGGGGAGGTACAGACACAGCACAGGGTCAAGAATGTCCTGCATCACATGATGTAATTTATAACACTTTAATTCTTTATGGTTTATATGTACTAGTAGGTTAATGATATCTAAAGGCAAGAATGATGCTTTAATATTTGAGATCACTTTTTCATAATCTAAAACAATACTAGGGTATCAGCTATTGCTGTCACAGACAAAAAATATTGCCTCATGGATCATCAGTCTGTTGTGTAGCCTATGGCCCTGAAAAAAACTGCAACTTCTACATGTATGTCATGAAATGTCATGAAATTTCACTCGCAACTTCTTAGCCTAAAATTTAATGATATATAGTAAAAAATGCCAAGATCCTGAAAGATATCCAGACAGTGAACATACTAATGTGATTTTCAGACAGCTACCTGGGTGTTGAGGAGGACAGGCAGCAGATGGAGAAGAACCTGTTTGGAGAGCGGGAGCGGATGGAGGAGGATCGCAGGAGGATGAAGGCTCAGTATGAGGAGGACCAGGAGAAGCTGGAGGGCAAGCTCAAGAAACTCAGGAGAGAGGTAAGACAGGATGAGAAATCTGGAAATTTCATCGTAGTTTGCCTTGCATCTGTACCATATTGTTTGGCTTCAAGCGATTCTGTATTTTTGAGTGTAGACTTTAAGATGTTATAGCAGCTATGTTTAAAAATCATGCTGATTGTGTAACATTTACCATCCTACCATGCCTGCCACACCTTCAAGCTGGCACTGGTTCCCCGCTAAATTGGAATTTTACAAAATTAATTGATTTATTGTTTGGTATCCCTCAAGTTACAAGAAGCGCAGGCTCAAGCGCGGGAGGCCCAGCGGAAGGCGGGAGAGACCGCGGCTAAACTGATCATGGCGGAAGGGAAGCAGCGACAGCTGGAGATAGAACACAGCAAGGCACAGCAGCAGTTCAAGGACCTGAACTCTGAGTACAGGACAAGACTTATCAGGTCAGGAAAATAATTCTAGAGATCTTCGATATTGTTTTTAATGGAAAAGGACAAGGAAGAAAATGTCAGAATATGTCTTTTTTATCTTTCAATCTTGTCAAAGTTTCTCACCAGCTTCTATGTATTGTCAGGTATGTGCAGGACATAGGGGAGTACATTGACACCTCTGCTGGGACGGCCCCACCCAACCAACAACAGCTGAAGGACATGAGACGGTACATCGATGCCATGATAGCTGACACTAAACAGGCTTACAAGGTAAGCAGAACTTCAAAACATAACTTATCCATTAACCTGTGTGATAGCCATGTAGCACCAAGGACAGCTCTGTGCCAGTTCTATCACATCTCATCATGTCATGGTGTTTCTAGGCCCGTGAGGAGCAACTCAGCCAGGCAGCCAAGATGTACAAGAAGCAGGCTAAACAGATGGCCAACAAGCATGAGCAGCTGCTGGTTGCCTACAGCCAGCTGCGCGAACAGGTGCTGGCAGGTGGCAGGAGCCTGGAGATTGACCTGGGGCTGTCAGGTGAGAGGGATTAACTCTAAAAAATCTACTTACAAGTTGGTGGCAAGGAAATAAAGTATCTTGATCACATCTAAATGCTGATGGGTGGGGTGTTCTACAGTAGGTCCCCTAGCAATCCAAACTGTAAAATACACTGCCAGACTACTTTATACAAAACAAGCATCCCCAAGCATTGGCTATAAATTGTCTGACATTCATTTGGCAGTCTTTGACTCCTATTTGTGATTTTCTCTTTTGAAACTTGGATTTTAGATGTAGACCTCCAGCTGTCAGACGGTGAAAGAGAGCTGCATGCAGCACAGACCGTGGAGTTGAACCGCCTGCGCCGGGCACTGCAGGACGCTCGAGCTGAGGCAGAGAGGGCAGCAGCCAGACCTAGAAATGTCACCATACAGGAACCTCAAGGGAAAGGTAGGAACAAACATGTGACTACTGTTACAAAAGTCAACTTTAGAATGCACTGAACGCTTGAACTGAAGTTTATTGTCTGGGAATAGTTCTGAAGCATGTACCTTAAGCATTTCACTGTTTTAGAAGTTGGTAGGTATTACATTGTTTGTACTAAAATTTACACTACATTTTCAAATACTAGATCCCAAACTGAGCATTCCATATGTGGAATGCACTACTTGTAGAACCGTTTTCTGAGTGTCTGAAGTCATTGGGAAAATTTATTTCTGCAGTTGGTTATCAAGTGAGTTTTTACCCATGTAGGCCCCACAGACTGGTCCTCGGTGAGGAAACAGCTGCGAGAGTTTGCCCTGAACACCCAGCAGGAACTGGAGACTGACAATGCCAGGATGAAAACTAAGGTCAGAACTGGACATAAAAGTAACATATCAACAGTACTTGTAGTTCTGAAATCTGTAGTAAATGTTGTCTATTGTAGTATCATATCCCTTTCTCCAATTTAATTCCTGGCTAATTAACCTTTTGTATCTTGTATTACATGTATAAGTAGCATGATTCAATTCAGAATACATTGTGTGGCTTAATACATGCTCTTTGATGACTGTTCCCCTGTAGGTATCTGTGCTGGAGTCTCAGTTATCAGAAGCACAGGACTACATTGACAAACATCTGGTCAGGTGAGAACACGATTATTTACAATGAATAATACTCATCCTTCACAAACTCTTCGATCTATGTTCTTGTAGGTTATTTTCACATTTCACAGCAAGCTCTTATTGTGAAAACTTTTTACTTTTCTTTAAAGGAATTAAAAACTTGAACTAGTTTTTTGAAGATACACCTTGTCCTTGTTTGATGATAAAGGTACAAGCAGGAGATAGTGCGTCTGCGTAAACTGCTGGGACAGGAGCCTGGCACCAGACAGGGCAGTGCAGGACCGTACCTGGACTCCGCAGACCCTGAGTACTACCCTAGACGGAGAGGTCACAATAGAGCAAACACATCCTCCTAGTGCCTGCCTGGGTCAGTTGCTCAGAATGGAAGAGTTTGTTTTGTTTCGATTCATTTTTCTGGAGTGACACCCAACAGGGTATTCCCTTCCATGTAACACAGTTTAGCTTTACATGTGAAGCAGGTCCAAATCAAGCTTATTAGTTTAGGGTTGCAGTGAGGGGGACAAATATAGTTTAGATATTAAAGGTTTTAAAAACTTTGTGTCTTAAGTGTTTGTCTGTTGGTCCAATTATAATTAGAAACATGTAATTGTTATGTCTACCAGAGAGGACTACCAAGTCATTATTACTAGAAGTACTAGTAACTGGATGGGCTTGCATCGATCTGCTGTGCTGTATACGTAATTGTTTGTTTCATGTAGTAAGTCTCTGTTGAAGTAGGAAAATGTGTGCATGAAGCTGTCTGCAATATGTATTTTAGAAATTCGTTTATACCTGAACAAAGCCTCATCTGGCTGCCATGTGCAATGAATATAATTATAATCTGCACCAAATGCTTTTATTTCTAGATTTTTTTAAACACAGATTTTATATCAAAACTTGATGTAGCTTGATGTTGGAGGTATAGTGTGCACTGCCTTTTAAAAAAATACACTAATAATTGAAATCTATGAAACTCTAGAAAAAATCTCGAAAACTGCACTTCTGTATTGCAAATAAAAATTCAAAAAGTTAAAGGCAAATTAGTAAGTTCTAGGTACACATAGTAGTACAGATAAGGAGTACTTTCTCCAGTCCTTTTCTCCAGTTTGAGAATTCTACCAAGGTTTCTGAGGTAGTTGTGTGGTAGCCTTTCCAAAAGATATTTTATTAATGCCACTCTTCTCAATGTTTGTAAATGTACATGTACATGATTGTTGTAAAAAATATTTCTTGTACTTCAGTAATCTTTATTTTCATATAGATAATAGAATATATTATACAGAAAATACAGAAAGAAGTTTGTATATGAAGATGTATTGTCATGAAATATGGAAATAAAGTGTACACATTAATTGACAGTGGGCTACTTGGTCACTTAAGACAAACATGGGATCAGAAAAATTATCAGTGTTTCTATACCCTTTGCAGGTACTAGTATATCATTAGTCACTTAGGAATTTCCTCTTCTTGGCTGTGTTCATGTAGGGGCGTAGTTGCCACTCAGTGTCAGCTGCTGCTACCTGGTCTAGTGTACCCAGCTTGATGGAGTACACTGGTGGGAGAGAATAACAAAATTTATAAGATTGTACTTGCAACATTCTCCTTTAGAGTATGTCAATGTTTACCTTCTATGTTTTTATTATATCTTAATCTACATTGAGTAAAAGTTTTTCAAAATCTGAAGCACAGTCACACATCTAATAACTGTCCAGCCATGATAAATATAACATTAATACGTACATCTCATTTCAAACCTTGGTCCTACTTCTTGCAGCTCAATGTTCTTGTGGTCAGTCTTCTTGTATACGTGATGTCTGGGAACAGAAAGTGGAAGTCAATACACCAGGGTATAGTAACGTGATTCTGAGGTCTGAGGTACATGTGTATCAGTATGGCTACGATTTCTAGTCCCTGTGCATTCATTTATGTAGTTTCATCAGTTCTAGTGTTTCCATGCTAGAAATGTCTTAAGCCAGTGTAAAGTCTCCTATATGACTTCTCACCTGAAGGAGATGAAATCCTCCTTATTAGCAAAAGTCATGACCCTGCGACTGTCCTCCTTAGGTACTGGGAACAAGTACTTCAAGATACTCTTCACCTGCAACATAAAGAAATCTTACAATAATTATTTGTCCAGATGCTTAATCTTAGCATATCTCGATGGAAAGATATTAAGCAACATGTATGTACCGTGTATATCATGGATCTTTTTGACAGCATCACCACCAGTTGTTATCAATAGAAAGTGCATGTAATTAGTCACATTTAGTCTATGCTTCCATGCTTTATAACCCCATATGCAATACAAATTTGGTGCTTAACTCTACTTCAGCAGGGAGGTTACACTCCATCATGTACATACGAACACATTGTGCACACTACACAGTAACTCTTGTATGACCATGATCCCTCACCCTTTCCCCGAGTTTGGATGAGAAGTTGCTGAAGATGAGATGTGGGTACTGTTCTGACATGGTGCCGATGTTGGGGATGTCATGTCTCATCACGGTGTTCATCAGGGTGAAGTACGCCGTGGGTCCATGTGGGAGGTGAGAGATGATGATTCCATCTGTTTTAAAATAAGCAAAATCCATGAAAAATAATCCAACTGCCTGCCTAAATGCCAGAACTAGTCCCTTGCTCCTCTTCATTTTTTTCCCGCCAGGCAGCACGGTCCTTAGCCTTAAAATCATACATGGATCAAACATGTATAATTGGAGGGAGAAAACTTCAAACGATTTCTCAAGAATACCATCCAAGACGATTTCATGGTTCCATCTTTATCACAGATTTTTTTGTGCATGTTACAAATGTTTTGTATGTGCTTTCATCATGCCATAGATAACTGTTTGTAATATCAAGTATTCAAGAATACAAATAGACCTACAGCTGTACCTGTTCTTGTAGAATGGAAAGCAAGCAGGTAGCGGTAAGTATGACCCATGCAGTTTCTTACCTGGCTCTCCCCTGTGCTCTGTGAGGATGATAAAGTCTGTGACATCATTAGCTCTGCAGGCCTCCACCAGCTGCTCCAGTTCATAATGACCTCTGTTTAACCTCTGTGCATTGGGGAAGACTAGTCTCATTTCCTGTATGAAATGACAATGAATACCAAGATGTAATGAGCAGAACTGTGACAAATACATGAATTTGTGGGGAACTCACATTTTAATAGTGTTATAACACAGAACTGTAATGAGTTGGCACAGACTCAGTATGTCTGAGTACTTAGTAACTTTAAATAAATACTGAAAATAGACACCTGCCCTGTGATGTTGCTCACCTTTGCAAATTGTTTGAGCCTGGAGCTGGGGTCCCTGGAGGTGGTTAACATGACCTTGGGATCCTCCACACCTGCCCACCTGTACTCATCATCCATGTGGTCCTGCTCAGCTGTAGGAGACAGGTGCAGCAGATGTTCACATAGTTAGAACTTTGATACCTACATCTACCAAGTATAACAGTTATCTCAACGAGTCAGATGCAAAAATATGACTTCTACTTCTAAACATGCAAGTCACTCTTTGTAATAACATTAAGCTAACATCACGTTTTTGACATACCTGGTGCATCAATCATGATTTTAAAACATATATATACTAGTATTTACATAATTTAGTGTGCTTTACCTTCTGCTCCCAGGTCGTCATACTGGAGAGCTTTCTCTAGTTCTTTTACATCCTTCCTCAGCTCTGTCGGGATGGGCTTGTTCTCTGTTGGATGGATAGGAAACAATACAAAGTTTTTGACACCTAGATTAAAACTGTACGAGTAGGAGGCTGATAAAGTAGAAATTCACACATGTATTGCTGACAGTTGCTATACATTGTATCATAAAATAAATTGTTGGGAGAAGTCACCATCACTGACCATCGAGTGCTCTCTTGAGCCGTTGTTTCCTCTCCTGAATTGTTTTCTCCTTGTCTTCAATGGACTTCCTGTACAGGTACTCACGACGTAGACGAGCCTGGCGGCGTAACTGGAAATGTAATGAGGGAATATGTTATAACGTTATAACGTTATAAGCACTGATCATTACTATGTTGTACTTGTACTAGTTTTGGTCTAGTCTTCATCAATCAGAAATCTGAGTGCCTTTATTGTTTCAACGTTCTTTTGTCCATGTTATTTGCAATTAGACTTCGGGCAGAAATTTGCAATAAACTTCTTATTAAACTTTATTAAACAGTTATTATTGTTGCATAATTTATGTAAGTGTTAGTTACTATATCTCATGTGGATTGCTGTGGACACTGTTTGGACTAGATATCTATATTCTGGTTGTGTTTTAGTTCCAAGCGTCCCTGGCTTGCCATACACAGCTTCAAAATCTTAACTAGTTAAAGTCTTCAAAAATTTATAGACTGGGATAGACTAGTCAGACTTGAGGTGTGCCCCCCTCCCCACATAACCCCATGTCCGACGGTACTGGAGACAGCAGGAGAAATTATAACATGAATACTGACTTGACTATCAGTCTAAGTCATAAACTATAAGTTGACGTAATGATAATACTCACCATGACTCTGATTAACAGCGAAAAATGTCGCGTTCTGCAGCAGAAAATCCGGATCCCTCTGTTCACACACTCCTACACCATGTGTTTCACAGAAACATAGCTTCTAATTTGTATAGAAAAATACGATTTCTTGCTTTCACCAAATCATGTAGTAAATCAAAGCAGAACTGGTTCAAATACATCAAACAATATAAATAATTGATGTAAAAATTATTTGCAAGCAATTCTTGTCATATTTGGGCCATCAACGTGCCAAAAATATCTGCTAGAATTTTTATTTGTAACTCGAATCCAAGCGCTAAAATATTTAACTTGCTTTACAGCCGTTGTTTTCACTGGGCGTTTGGATTGCGAAGTGCGATCTGCGAACGAACGGAAGAAAATATTGCATTATCTACTTTGTTTGACCCAACACCAACAACATGGTGAGTGTAAAGATAGATATAGGTTTGTGTAGCTACTCACAATGTTGAAAATTGGCCTGTTCTTCCCGGTAATAATGTTTGTCTACCTTAAAAAAAGTGAAGGTGGGAGGGGGGCGAAAATAATTTTTTGTTGCACAGACATGCGACATGCTGCATCTTCTTTTCCAAATTATTAATTTGTCATAGGAAATTATGGGTACACATGTTTTAGAAGCATATTTCATAGAGTCAATTTTGTCTTAGACTGTAGTTATCTTTATTTTCTTGGGGGATTTAAGTAACATTGATACATCGTACACATCATACACATGTTGCTAAAAACTTTTCTTTCTCTTGTTCCCAGGCGAGAAATGCAGAAAAGGCCATGTAAGTCAGCAAATGTAACAATTTATACCTTTAATGTCTTATGCTGTTATTTCCTATGGAATCTTTATCAACATGTATCAAAGTCATCTTTAATGTATAACCGTAATAACGTTAACTTTTAAGAATAAAAATCCTTATTGTAATGTAAATGTATGTTTCAGGACAACTCTGGCCAGATGGCGGAACATGCAGATGGATCAAGGAAAAGTCAAGGTGAAAAAGGACACCATATGTTATTACGAAAATCTAGTTTTCTCAATTTACCCAGTACATGTACTCACCGTCACACTATGGTCTCTTCTAACAAGGAGGTAACCTTCTTGCTTCTAATAATGAAAGCAATGACATATTAAAGATTTCTGCTTATACCTAATATTATGAAAATTTTAATATGCTAATGTTTGGTCATCAACAGGAGAGAAGACCCTTCCTTGCTTCGGAAGAGAATGATTTGGGGAAAGCAGAAAAGTGGAGACACCAGATTATCAGAGAGGTTGCTAAGAAAGTATCACAAATCCAGAATGGTAAGTAAAAAATGGACAAACACTCTATTAGTCTGGATAGGATAGCTCTGTTAAAATAAGTCTTTAGAACTTTAAAGTACATGAACCTAGAGTTCTGGTAGCATATTACAATAACCAAACATTTCTTTTGTCTTCTAGCGGGTCTGGGTGAATTTCGGATACGAGACTTGAATGATGAAATCAACAAGCTACTGAGGGAGAAGAAGCACTGGGAGGAAAGAATAAAGGAGCTAGGGGGTCCTGACTATGAAGTAGGCATTTGTGGTATCTCTTGTCTGTGTGATCTCTGTTATCTATCTATGTTTTGAATGTAACAACAATTTCTAGATCTAATGCTTCCTTACTGTATTTGGCTGGTCCTCATGTCCGTTATAGTAAGCACTGCACCTCACAATAATACCGGTAGTATGGTGAACGCTATAAGGCAGAAGGTTCTGCTTGAGGTAAATATCCATGTTACTGTGTGACTTTGTACATGTAGTTATGTTAAAAAGTTAACCTTAAAGATGCCCCTTTTGGTAAGTTTCTGTTGTTCATTTTGTTTTCAGAGAGTTGGACCAAAGATGTTGGACCAGGAGGGGAAAGAAGTCCCTGGTAATAGAGGATACAAGTATGTGACAGTTTACTATGTTTAGACATATATTTTGTTTTTACATCTACCTTTGGCTTGCCCGAAGGTTATTGATTTTAGCTAAAAAACTGGATTTTTTTCTGGCACATTATTCTTTGTAAAAAAATTTTCCTCGGTTTTTGCTTTAGATACTTTGGAGCTGCAAAGGACCTTCCAGGAGTAAGAGAACTTTTTGAACAAGAACGTAAGTCACATGAAAGACAAACTGTTTTACTTTTATCTTGTTACTGTCTTTCTATCAACACCACTTTAGAAGTCTACCATGCTGTAGTCTTAAATTTTGTACAGACTGAGACACTGGGTACTAAAAATGTTGTGCCACCCTCTTTTTTAGCCCCAGCCCCTCCCAGAAGAACAAGAGCAGAGCTGTACAAGGAGGTGGATGCAGACTATTATGGGTACCGTGATGAAGATGATGGTGTGCTGGTCCCACTGGAACAAGACCTGGAGAAGGAAGGTGAGATACTAGTATCAGGCAAAACTATTTTATTCATGTATTCTTAGTATATCATACATAGATTTTCTAGGCAGTAGAGCTGATTAAGAAAGTGTAGAAGTACAACACAGACAACGTATGATAGAAGCAGCAAACCATATTACATTCACAAGCAACTGTCATTTATAAAATGTTTTTCGAAACAATTTGTGTATGTACAGTATTACAGTCTCTCTCTACAGTAGTCAAGTAACTTACTTAAAGTGCAGCATTCATTTTAAAGTTGATCTGTATTTGTGACTCCAGTTGTAGCTGAGGCTGTGGCTGAGTGGAAGTCCCAGAAGGAGGCAGGGCTGCTGAAGGATGTTGAGGAGGAGGAGGACATCTATGCTGTGGAGGAGGAGTCAGATGAGGAGGAAACAGGGGAGAGTAAAATGTATGAAACAGCTAAACTTTGTTAGTGCCATATTGTCAGTATGTATGGGTGCATTGCATGCAGTTCTGCCCATACTCAAGGTATTTAAATTTCTCTATTTAAACATGTATTCTGTATCAATCAATGCTTCTTTCAAATTTTCTGATTACAATGTACTACTGCCCCTACACAGGGAGACAGAGGAAGGTCAGCAGCAGTTCATTGCCCACGTACCAGTTCCCTCACAGAAGGAAGTAGAGGAGGCCCTTCTCAGAAGAAAGAAGATGGAACTTCTACAGAAATATGCCAGCGACTCACTCTTGGAGCAGAGCAAGGAAGCAAAAACACTCATGGGACTGTAAAAACCATAGGCTAGGTGGTGTCATGGACTGGGACAGATATTTTGTAAAAATTATTTTTATAATGCTCTCATAATGAAGTAATAATATGGTGTAATGTAGTGTACACAAATGTGATTAAGCAAGAAGACTTCAACTTGAAGACTGGTGCCTCAATAATATTCTTGCATGCATAAGTACGAAAACAAACAAGAAAGACCTTTGTTACTAACCAGCAAAGTATGTATGACGTACTTATGATGTTCTAAGGTGGAAAAACATTAGCTCTGTATATTGTGCTGTGGTCAACATCCTTGAAATGTCAGTGTTGCAAGTGGATGCATGTGACACTTGACAAGAAATGTCAACATTCCATTTTTGTAGGAGTAATGTTAGTAGTAGTACATCTAGTAGTTTATTTTGAATATTGACACAAAGGAGAAAACAGCATACAGTACCCATACCATTAAAGAAAACGAATGGTATGAATTATCCTTGTGGTACCTTCAACTGTTCCATAAAGTTACAAATGTACCAGGCAGTATTCAAATGCCTGAAAAACTGTTCTCCTTGCAATGTTCTCCTTAAAATTTAACGTTACTTGTTTATTATTCTCTGCCAATACAATTGAATGGTTACAACTGAACAGCTTGAAAGTTATGTTATTTACCTTTCACCTACTCAGCAAATAGCAGAGTCCAAAGTTTCATATATCTGGCCTTAACCAGGGTGCACATTCATGTACTTTGGTCAATAGATCACATGTGAATCTACTTGTTTTCATACAATGTTCACTACAGTAAAGACATGCTTTTCAAATTGGCAAATACAGTACTGCTGTTGGCAAATACAGTACTGCTGTTACTTTAGTACTACCAACATCCAAAATAGCCCATTAGCCAGTAAAGGGAGCTCTGGCAAAAGGCTAGAGCAAAATGTCTGCCTCATATAGTGAAGTTCTTATTGGGAAGGAATCTATTACCTACTGCCCTTTGCTGCTCTCTTTTCATCTTTTCTGAATGGTATCTGGGCATAAAGGAAGGGAAGCTTTGACTCCCAGAGGGACATGTGTAGCCCGTTTCCTGCTGAAGACAGAAGCAGCTTGTGGAGAGATCATAAAAGTGACTTTTAAAATTGTGTTTATCTGGCTGCAAAACTCAACTCAATGATTGAACCTTTATGATTATTAGTATGAAATTAACTTTTTAACATGTCATTGCATTTAACGTACTTACACAATAGCTAAATGACAATGACATCAATAGCCCAGTCTAACATTATCTGATGACCGCACAAAAATGGGTGAAGGTCACTGGTACTGATGACCTTTGCTTGTGAACAACACTTAGAGCTACACTCTCTGTCCAATTTTCATACACACTTGTAATCGAGATTACATTTGAAACTTTGCTTGTAAATGTGTTTAGTTGGCAAAGATACTATTCGTATTCCCCATTGCAGTTTTGTTCAGATGGTGGTTTCCAAGGGAACAGCAATTTCATGCAAGTTTTAAAACAGACACACATGGCAGCTTGGGTGTACGTGACTTGACACTTGGCAATAATCCATGACAACAATCCCAGCATGGTTGCCCTTTTACATAGCATGTCAACAGCCTTGGCCTCTGTGGTTTGGCAACCCACACCTAGGAGTAGGACATGACTGATGATGAGACCATATTTAAAACATCCACGTTTGAGACAGTGAAACCTAGGAGGACTGCAGTACCACGTCACAAATTTGCGTTAGGCTACCTTACTATACTGTGTCATTGCTGTGATCAAAACAGGCCATCCTGATAACGTCAGGCCTCTTTACACATACGTCATACCGGATAATAACAGCGGTTATGTCGCTGGCCAAAACAGGCCTGAGGGTCTTGGAGAAAGCCTATGTAGGCAGACTTGTCTGTGGATATTGACATAACCAGTACTATATTTTATCATTTTTATTACGCACTGCTGTCATTTTGCTGAATGTTTTAGAAGTAGTCTAAGAAAATACGGGCTATCAACATGTTGTATCAAGCGGGGATGATACGTTATTAGCAAAAAAATGTAACACAAGTATCTCTGAAAAGCCTGGAGCAAAGGCTAGAGCAGGATGCCTTCGAACTCACACGGGACCCGTGCGTCACGTCCTGCATGGGCGTAGTCCACGTATTCGCATTCTGATTGGTCCATCTGCCAGGCACACCCCCATCTTTGATCGTTCTGATTGGTCAATTTTGATCGAGCGACTAATTTACATTTTCCCGCACGTTAAACCGTTACAACCAACCATCAGCTAGTATTTTGCAATTAGTAACAAATGAGATCTGAGGACAAATATAGACTCTGCTCTATGATTGGTTTAAATTCGAGAGCTGCGGGTAGACCGTCCGGTGACTCGGCTTACGCAAACTCCGGCGTCCGGCTTGGTCCAGAGTTGATCACATCTTCGCCGGTGGAAAAATGGCAACAAGAACCCAATTTCCTCGTCTTATACAAGACGGAGTGAGGCTTCTACGCTGCGAGAGAAATAGAAACAGGAATAGTAGAAGATTTACGCATCATATACCACAGGTAAGTGGAGAGATATCGGCTGTTTGAAGGGCGATCGTTTGTGTACGAGTGTCGTCAGTGGGCACAAAAAAAAAATATTGCAAAGTCAAATCATTTCCAGATTTTCTTCCTAAACTTTCGGTGATAGATTTTCAAATTCAGACTAATGATTTTGTATCCATCCACACAGAGTCTTGTTGTCGAATACTGTATTGTTTTTATGATATTGAATTTTTGGACAATCGGTACGATCGCAGAAAAAGCGTTATTTCCTTGAGTAAACCGGGCCCAACTGGTTTGACAGGATTCGTTTGACAGCGCGCGAGTGAAACTCCGCGCATTTTTCCCCAGTGCCTAGATCAGTAAAAAAAACTAATATATACAAAATACACAAAAAGATCAGTACATATGGGGGTACCAGTAAAATATGATATACTATATATACTATTTCCTCCTTTTAGATTGCGGAACTGATCGTCAGTTTCCTGGATGTTGATAATGTTTGACTGTAAATTTTCCTGGTAAAATTAGTAACAGGCTTCCCAGAATGGTGGAGCCATTTTGTCATGTAAATTTAATTCACGCTGTGCTGTGCCGTGTACAATTTATTATGTAGATCTTTACCGGGCATTTCTTTCTTACCTGTTCACGTGCCTCTTATGTAACCCCAATATTTATACCGTGTTGACATTTCGTGTGTACTTTATGTTAACGTTTAGAACAGGGCATGACGCAACAGTTCTGCAGGTAGCAGACTTTCCTGCATAAATTTGATCAGTATGAAAATCCAAGACAATTTGTACTCAACATTTAAATCCCAAGGGCACCCAGTACTAGTACTACTGAAACAAAGGGTTGGTAATTGGTCTTAGCAAGGACATTATAATAATTATAATGTCCTTGGTCAATGTGTTAACGTCATGAATTGTTGTACAAACTTCCCAAATCTTGAGGATCAAGGACATTAGTCACTATACTGCTTGATGAAACTGAAACATACATGACATGGTCAGAAGTGCCAGCCCTGAGCATAATTTGTTGACTAAAGAAGCATGCATGATCATAACACGTATTTGTAGAGGAAGATTAGAACCCGTTGGTGGGATGATATGAAAAAAATCATATATGTAGGTCAGACTGTGGCAAAAAGTCTTGTCATGAATACTTGACAATGACCATTCTTTGCCATCTTTATGATTTACCACAGTTACCACTAGTCCACAGGTTTTGTACTCTCTGGTGTGATCTGTGTTGGTTAAAATTTTTAAATGTTGCCTGTACATGCAAGTTGGTCCTTCTGAATAACAAACTGGCCTGAGCCTGAGGAGACAGACTCATCAGGGAGGAGACAGACCTCCAATTTCTGAGAAAACATGCTTTACACATGCATGCAATATTATTGTACTCACACAACTACATTGTAGAATGTCCATACCTTTCAAATTGAAGTGTGAGTAAGTGGTCACTGCACAGGTTATGATATCCATGCATTCAAAATGATTGGGAGCAAACTACCTGGTACTAGTACAGAGTTTTATCAAAATATGTGTAAAGTAAAGGCTGTAACATCAGGGAGAGAACATACTAGTAGTAAGTCAAGGACATTAAATGGAAATGTCCTTGGTTAAGTTTATGATCCTGTAGCACTCAAGTGGCACTGAGGCAGTGCTGCCCTACTGTGTATGTGCTGAGTTGCACGTAACAATGTTTCAGGGGACCAAGGTTACTAGGGTTCATTCTGATCCTCATTATTTTCCTAGTCGCTGTGGGCCCATTTCGTGTTGCAATATTTGTACACTGGAGAAGAAAGGTCAGAGCTTGGTCAGGTGCCCGGGCTATTTGTAGCTTCTTGACACCTGAGTAGTATGAAAAGGGCCAGACCACATATAGAGAAACCCAAGTAGAGAGGTAGCACAAGGACAAAGGAGAAAAGGTGTTTGATGTCTCAGTAGGGATGCAAATTGTTGGAAGGGTCTACATGTGTAACACATGTAGTTATATATCATTCCCTAACAAGTGTTTTAAGAAGTTTGCTTATGTTTAAGAACTGTTGTGGGTAGCAAGTTTGACAAAGACAGGGATTCCATGGCCAGATGCAGGGGCTGTGTTGCATTTTGTATCCTTGCCAACATGCTATTGTCCCTTCTGTGCTACCTGGCAGGAAGTTAATTGTCTGGCATATTAAAACTAATTCTAACCACCATTGTGAGCATTGATAGATTGTGATGTAAAATTTATGCTATGTAAAGCTGGTTTTTCACACTATTATTTCATGTCTTCTTTGGTGGACTTTCATGAATATACAAATGTCTTACGTGTACACAACACAACACAACATGAATGATGTGTAATGTAGGATAACTTGCTTCTTTGGAAACTGAAGTACATGTAAAAGTAAGTTAGTTTTCCTCATCAGTATGTGCTCCAGGCAGACAACACCAGTCTTTTTGGTTGGTCATTATTGCTGCTAGGTGTATATTGTCTGGTGAATACCCAGTCATGGAAAATTCCACCCAGGTCACTGACCTGTAACAGTTGTCAGTACTGAGCTAAGCTAGGTCACGGGAATAGGAGAGTTTCCCGTGCGGGAACTGTGCCACGGAGGGGGAGAGATTCCCGCTTACGGGAATCTCTCCACCTAGCAGTGCCGAGTCCCGTACGGGAACTTCACCACTCAGGGCTACCACGGAGGTGGAGAATTTCCCACTTTACGGGAATCTCTCCACCTAGAAAGACTAAGTCCCGTACGGGAACTTCACCACTCAGGGCTGACCGTGCGCGCGCGTGTTTTGGGGCCGATATACGGACGGGAATGTCACCATATTACACGAACGGGAATTGGACCTTTTAGTCGACATTTCGCGTACGGGAAATTCACCAGCAGTGACAAATAATGTCCGTCTGCGGACCCCGTACGGGAACTTCACGGCCGATATACAGACGGGAACTTCACCACATTACACAAACGGGAATTGGACCATTTAGTTGTACTACAGGTGCAACCAATTTTCGATTGAACCGCCTGGAATCAAAACAACGCCCCTAGCCTGGTTTGAAGCAAAATTCTAAAAACGTCGAGTGATTGACGTAATCACGAGTGCGTCTTCTATGACTTCTATGGACATCTTTGTGCTGTAATAATAGTCTTGAAACTCGGTAGAACACACACACACACACATAAAAAGCCTGTTATTCTATGGTACAAAAAAAATGTCCGAAGAAGACAATTACGAGTAAGTGCTGTGCTGTGCATGGACAGTGCTATTGATAACGTAGTTGATAACGGCCGGTTGATAACGACAACCGGCTCGGGGTCCGTACCTCTACGTGGAGAGTTTCCCGTGCGGGAACTGTGCCTCTTACATGGCACAGTTCCCGCACGGGAAACTCTCCACCTCCCGTACCTCGGCTTACCTGCAGTACTGTATTACCCACCCATTACCTACTTACTTCAGCTGGGCTTGCCAAGAAAAGTAACCAGTTGGTCTGCAATCAACAAAACATAGAATATCAATAGGGCAAATGTTAAAATGAATACCAAAACCAAAAGGCAAATGGTACCAAATTGTTTGCAACCAAAGGTTCTGGCTAAAATTGTTTTTTCTCACCACTACAGACTGTGTATCAAGGAGGTTAGAAAAGTATCTACCATTGATAATGAAATAAGTATAGAAAAGAGTCAACTCAATGATAATTTAAGTACTAAATACATGTAGTACTAGCATTATTTAGTCAGTACTGGTACTGATTGTCAGTACATCTGGTGCACATTATGTACACATAGGACAAGGTCAATACATGATGATGTGCTGTCATGGTGGCTATATATTCTTCATTGGAATGTTGGTATGAGGGCAAACTACCCTGACGTGTTGTAAGATTTTATGGCCCATGTCTGCCAGATTGCAGCCTATCTATACCTCTCATAAGCTCTGCAGAATTTGCCAACTTTCAGCCTTGAATCTTGATACTAGTAGGATCTGTCCCAGCAACATGCTAAAAATATGTTGTTTTAAAATCAGTTTTCTGAGACGAATGAAAGTGTTCAGAAATTGATTCCATTTCACATGCACAACTGGTTCCTCAGTGAAAGGCAGTGACACACTGGCGATCGGACTGAGCCACACTCTGGCTGAAGAAAACATACATGACGATGATCACCATTAATGTTACATTCAACATTGTACATAATGCACTCAACTTCAAGTAGTAGTCTTCGTTTACAAAATTTATGTGTCATTTAAGTTAAAACAGGTCAATTGTTTCAAGCAAAATAGCATAATGACACAGCTTCTACTGAACTGAGTACTACAGTACTAGTACATGTATTCAGTTGTCAACAGTTCCCATCAATTTTGTCAAAACTCAGTCAAGATATTGTCTTTTTCCTTCCTTTCCAGGACCCCCGTTTCGGGCTGCTGTTTGACATTGATGGCGTGCTCACACGTGGAAGAACGCCCATCCCTGCTGCTAAAGAAGCCTTCTCCAAACTTGTGGACGGTGAAGGCCGGTTCAAACTGCCAGTAGTCTTTGTAACCAACGCAGGCAATACCTTACGCCAGAACAAGGCACGCCAACTGTCCGAACTTCTTGATGTGCAGGTGAGAAGTCAGCTTTTATACTCCACTGGAACATTATTTGTCTTCATTTTGTATCTCAGGATTAAACAACACGATAACCAATGTGACCTAAAAAGTGACCTTGTAATGTAATAATGTAGACAGTAGCAAAAGTCATTATGTATGCTTTTACTAGTTTTAGAGGAATTTCAAAATTTTCTTCGATCAAAGTCTCACTCTGATATGTGCAAACCCTAAATCCTCTCTCAAGGTCATCACAATCTGTTATGCAATTTTTTTCCCAAGTTGAATGACCTGATGTTATGCTTTTTCCCCAGGTGGATCCAGAGCAGGTAGTTCTGTCCCACAGTCCACTCAAGATGTTCAGGCAGTTCCATGACAAACACGTCCTGGTGTCAGGGCAGGGACCTATCATCGAAATTGCCAAAAAGTATCCTTTCATCAAGAACTGTCTTTTATCTTTAACTTACTTTCAGTTTTGATTTCTATATACAATGCTTACAAGTTGTATACTCCCAGAGTGTCATAATTGTGAAGAGGTATTACTGGTACTCAGTAAAACATGTATAAGCAATACCTTGTGAGTGCTTCTTGTATCAAACTTCTATCTAATTTACAACATTCATTTTCAACCAGAATTTTGTTTGTTGCAAAACATGGAAAGGCAGATTATGGCAGTTACTTAGATTTATGGCACCTCCATTGCTTGTCATTTTATGTTTTGAAAACAGACTGATAATATCAGCCTGTTTTCAAAACATAACGTTGTATCTTGTATATTGTGACGTAAAACAAATAGACCTTTTGGTTCCTGTTGTTCCCTTAACTTTTCTCTCAGTCTGGGTTTTACGAAGGTTACAGATGTAAACACTCTACGGAACAGATTCCCCCTGTTGGACATGGTTGACCACAAGCGGCGTAAACATGCTCCTTGTGCCTTCGAGCAGTACTTTCCAAGGTGAGTTGTTCAAGTGCCTATCTTACCAAGTCTCAGTGTAGGTTTAATGCTGTCGTGGCTATTAGGTGAGGGGTTGAAAGTATGGGGCACTTAAGGTTTTTAACCGTCAGTAAAGGCAGTCAATCATGCTTCTATTGGTAGCTGAGTTCAATTTACATAGAAAACACTTCTTCCACAATGTTCAGCAGTTTTGAGGGGCAAATTTTGGTATGGGGCCGCTGAACTAGGTGACCCCAGTTATTTGTTATTCTGCCCTGTATGACTCCTGTGGTATTTAGGTCGTCTCACTTCAGAGATTTCGTTAATTTAAACTGTGGATGTACTGGATCAAGATGACCCGTCCTTGTTTCTCAGGTCTTGTGATTTTAGTAAATACTTCAAGTCCCTACTATCAGGATTGTAACCTTCAGTGACTGTACAAAGTCCACTGTGTGACCTGTACATTTGCTACCATTTAATTGGTCTGATTTGAACAGTGCTGATTTAAGACTACCCGGTATTGGAGAATTTACTGGCCAAGAGGAATTTTAAATATGAAATATCAGACTACCCTCATTAAGGAAAACAGCAATGTGCATTACTGTGTTAATCATTGCTTACATTTGTATCTAAACATGTGATACATGGTATTTTCTTCTTCAAGTTGCAATGTACAAGTGTAGATATAGATCTGATACACAGTCATTGATTTACTGTGCCAATGTACTAGTGTAGATCTTATATAGATCTGATACACAGCCATTCATTTACTGTGTTTAACACCTTTACCACAGTATCAATGCAGGGGTGTTATTTAGTGAACAGTGTCTAATGTCCTGCTTTGTGTCCCAGAATCGAGGCAGTGGTGTTGTTTGGTGAGCCGGTGAGGTGGGAGACCCACCTGCAGCTGATCCTGGATGTGCTGCTGACAGACGGGCGGCCATGTTACCTTCCCAAGGAGGTTCCCGACCCACACATGCCGCTCCTGGCCTGCAATATGGACCTGATGTGGATGGCTGAGGCTCCCATGCCAAGGTCAGGGTCAAGAACTCTTCCCTAAATCTTTTTGATATTAATTTTATTTAAGAAACTTATTGTGCTATTTAGAGAGAAACAAAAAGTGCTTTTCTGGTGTTCCATGATCTTGTGATTGGATAAAACGGTACAGTTTGTTTTTCTTGTAGCACTTTTGATAAATCTTTAAAAAATATGTTACTTCTCACACCAGTCTAACATGAAGCTGTTACTCTTTCAGGTTTGGTCACGGCATGTTTCTCCAGTGTCTTGAGTCGGTGTACAACAAAATTACAGGAAAAGAACTGAAGTACACAGGGTTGATTGGGAAGCCTAGCGACCTCACCTACCACCATGCCGAGCACGTGGTGGAGACCCAGGCACAACAACTGGGCCTCAAACAAGTCAGGACTATTTACGCCATTGGGTAAGTTGCCAGGGTGTGATCAGCCAATATGTGAACATTTGCATAGCTACATGGTTGCTAAGTACATTTCATTGAATGTGGAGAGAAATGAAAAGTACAATATAACTTGACTTTTTAGGATACTGTGTCCTACAGGACCTTAGATTCAATATGTGAGAGATGGTACATGTTGTGATAGAGGTTACAATGTCTGTATTGTTCCCTTAAACAGTGACAATCCTGAGGCAGATATCTACGGTGCCAACCTCTTCAACAAGTATCTGCAGAAGAAAGTAGCAAAGGCTCGGGCAAAGAAGGCGGCTCAGAAGGCGCTACGACAGGTGGAACTGGAGGGGACGGTCACGGCGGTGGTGGAGGAGGTCGGCGAGGACGTACCGGACGTGCTCGGCTGCGAGGCCTGCGAATCCATCCTGGTTCACACGGGCGTGTACCGACCCAACATGGAGGAGACCCAGGAACGCAACGCGTACCGAGCCAATCATAACGGACATGTACATAGAGACTTTAAGCTCGACCCTGAGCTGAAGAAGCCCGCGTATGAAGCAGAAGATGTAGATGTTGCAATAGACATGATCTTCAAGATAGAGAGTAGCCATTAACAAAGGTTTGGTTTCTGTTGGCTCAAAGTATTTATTTAAGAACTTCATTTGTATTCCTTATATCAC